TGGATGGATGGATGGATGGATGGATGGATGGATGGATGGATGGATGGATTGAGAGCCTGGCCCAGGTTGCCCCGAGAAGCTGTGGCTGCCCCATCCCTGGAGGGGTTCAAGGGCAGGTTGGAGGGGGCTTGAAGCAACCTGCTCTGGTGGGAGGTGTCCCTGCCCAGGGCGGGGGGTGGGACAGGGTGGGCTGTAAGGTCCCTTCCCACCCAAACTATTCTATGATTCTAGCTCCTGGGACAGTGTGCCCATCTCCAGGGGGCAGGGTGCTCAACTCCCAGGGCAGGGTGCGGAGCTGCCCAGGGCATGGTGCAATTCCTGGTGTAGAGCCAAATGGAGGGGTGCAGAACTCTGCAGCAGGACCCACAGTGATTCTGCCCATGCCCGGTTCCCAGTGCTGCGGATGAGAGTAGAGCTGGCGCTGGTGACTGCATGTGTTTTGGGAAAAGCTGGCAGTGCTAAGGACAAACAGGCAGAGCCCCGGGACTGTCTGTAGCAGGGGAGAATGTTTCATGTTGTCTCTCTTTAGGATTTGTACTAGGAGTTGTAGAGGAGCTGTGGTAGCCTGAGCTATGTAAGGTGTCCCGGGAACCATGCTTACAGTCCTGTTCAGTGTCTCTACACATCATGCACTCCACAAATTAGTATATTGTGCATTAAATAAGTTACAGTCTCAAAATGTCACTTTTATAGAGAATGGTCAGTATGCATATTTCTAACTGGGACCCATAATCTCAATCCTCTGCCCAGTGCTTGCATTTTATCAACAACAACATGAAAATTTTCCTCGGAGGTGTATTTTATTAGTGTTACCCTTTAGGTGATTCCTGGCATACCTGACGTAGCTGGTCCAACCTGCTGCAGTAACAGCACAGGGTACCACACATCGTGGTAGCTCCTGTATTTCTGTTTGTGTTCTAGATGTGTGCACAGTTTCTGCAGAGATCGAGGTGTCCTTTTCCTACAGGCTCCTTTTTCCTAGCTGTTCATCGCTTTGTTGATCTTGTCACGCCTCTGGGACCTGGCAATGATGTTTTGATTTAGTTTGAGGTTAGGACTTACAGGGAATGCCTACCCATCCTGCTGACACTTCAGATCCTGCAGGATTTCCAGTGACACTAGAATCCTGAGAATTATGATGGAACAAAACACATGGCAGCAAGTTGGGGGGAGTGGCCACTGAAGTCACTGCATCCAGCCATCCCAGGAAGTCCTTTCCAGTCCTATGTTGCTATATCCATAACAATCTGTGCAAACTCTGTGAGCCAATGCTGAAACATGAGCTGGGCAAGAACACAGACCCAAATAGGAGGGGTTTTGGGGGGCTGGGGGGCTGGCAGGTTGGTTTCCCATCCTCAGTGCAAGGCACCACGTGTGCTCCAGGGAGGGAGTCTCTATATCAGATTTCCTTGGTGAAGGATGAGGAGGTGCTGTGCTGCCATCCTTGGGTCTGTGTGTCCAGCCCCTCACTGTCACAGATAGAAAATCCTGCAGTCACTCATCATTTTATCTAGTTTAGAAGCAGATGGGATTTTTGCTTCTATATTCTTCTTAGTTTGGAGGGATGTTTTGGAGCCTGATTGCTGTAATACCTAGAAATCTCCTCAAGATTTCTTGTCGCATGTACTAGCGTCCAATTTTTATACATTTATTCTTGATTCACAGTTAATCTGAAATTGTTCCTTTACTTTTCTGGCACTGACTCCAAGTGTACAAGCAGACAGATTTATGGCCTCTTGGTCTGTGTTTTGCCAGACAAAGGCTAGCTAAGCAAGTTCTGCTGGTGGGAAGTAGAAAGCTGGTAAATACATTTCTGAGGGGGGGTGGATGCTGCGTGCGGAGGGTGTGCTGTCAAAGACCTGGCACTTCCCCCTGGTTCGGACACCTTCAGGCTGACATGGGGAGGGGATGCCTCTTCCCTGGGCTGATGGGCAACCCTCCCCTGCCCCTCTCGCCTCCTCTGAGGATTCCCCTGGGGCTCTGCACGACATTCAAAGCTTGTGAAGAATGCGCCACTCACCCCAAATAACAGAAAACACATAGCGAGCAGCACAGGCATCCCGGGGCCCCACACTGCTCCCACCCCCAGCCAGGCAGGCGGTCGGGGGGCTGGGGAGTACGTAATGAAAAGCATTTGCTGCAGCAGCTATCTATAGTCTTTTGTGTTTGGGAGCGGGCAAGGGACAGGCATCCCCGCCTGCCTGACCTCAGAGCTGACGTCAGAGAGCCCCAAATGAGTAACAGGGAGCGCTCCAGAGAGGGGAGCACGGCCAGCCTGCCCAGCATGGAAGGTGAGGCACCAGCACCACGAAGCGACAGAAGATAAAACGGGAGGGTTTGTGCCCACAGAAGTACTCTGTATCTACAGTATCAAGACTGGCTTCCATTCAAGGTGGGCCAAGGAAGTTTAGGTCTTTCTATGGGCTGACTCAGCAACACAAACTCTGTGTGTCTGACCCACTACAAGCATTTTCCCGTACCTGTTCTGCTTTCTTAACCTCTTGGGTGCACACTGAAGGGTCCCAGCTGCAGCACAGCCTCTGTCAGCTTGCACCTGGGAAACAGTTCTAGCAATGATAAAAAGGTTACAGATCTGTGTTGTGTAAGCAGTAGGACTGTGCGTTAAAAATACTGCTACCCCAAATATTTGGTTCTAACACTACTGGTATTGTCCTTTTGCTCCCGGTCATCGCAAGAGTGGAGGGCGAGTTTCATCTGCCAGTCTAGGACAGTGGGGTAGGAATCGGGTCCAGGAGAACATATGGTATGAGTCTCAGATCTCCATCACATTGTTGTAATGTTGTACCACAGAGAGGCCTCAGTGACAAGGCAAGGTCTTGTCAGGGTAAGGTCAGTGCAGCAAAATGTCGGGATAAACAACAGAAGTTGTAAGTCTTATGTGCACACACGAGTCTGGAGTGTACAACCTGAATACTTCACAAAATACATCTGTGCCAGCAAAGAGGCTGTGATTAACAAAACAAGATGCAATCACAGAATCATAGAACGGTTTGGGTTGGAGGAGACCTATAAAGATCATCTAGTCCACCCCCCCTGCTGTGAGCAGGGACATCTTTCACTGGAACAGGTTGCTTAAAGCCCTGTCCTACCTGGCCTTGAACGCTTTGAACACAATCGCAGCTTCCTAGTCATTGCCTTCCTGAAAAACGTCTCGAAGTCTTCTCCTTGCAGATGGATGCTCACACGCTTCCCATCGAGTGATACCGACTCCCGCACTGCCTTTCGTCTGCTTGGTGGGAGGCTCTTCATCTCCTGCCCACTGCAGAATTCCTGTACTACCTGCTGCTTTCCCCGTTTTAAGTAGCACATTACCAAATGTATCTGTTGCAATGACATGTAGTGATTCTCTACATTTTGTGAATAAACATGAATTGGGGTAAAGCACCCGTGATACTTCCGATAAACATAAGTTGCTGCTGTATTGCGCTTATGTTCGTGCTCTTCAAAGGCCTTATCATACCATCTCAATTTGCTTTTTCTCTCTGAACAGGTCAAACTCCAGTTTGAGTTATTGTCCAGTGTGCATTTTTTCAGAGATATGAGCAAGATAGGAGCCTTTAGCTTCTACTGAGGGAAGTTTCAAAAGTAACCTTTCTGCCTGTGTTTAGGGGCCTGATGTATGGGGGTGCTGCTCCTCCAGCTGCTGTAGCCAGCTCCAGCCTCCCTCCTCAGAGCACCCTTCAGGTTTCGGAGAAAAAGACCCTGCCCTTTTCTTCTCTCCAAATGCAAAAATTAGACACTGGCTGTTTCACAGTTTCTTTGGTGACTTGAAAGCCTTCACAAACCTGCCTCTTACACTGTTTCCTCCTCAAATCTCTGTCTCAGTTCCCCATCTGTAAGATGGGGGTAAGACCAAATTTCGTACCTCCAATGGGGCAAGCAAAAAAAAAAAGGAATTTTGGCACATCATAGATAGATGAGGGATTTGTGTAGGGCATTTGTCAGCAGTGCATGAAGAGATGATTAAACTCTGAGCAGTAATTCATCAACTTTTGACTTAAACTCTGTTGCTGTATTTTACAATAGATGATTGTCAGCCAGCGGGGTTGTTCTAGGAGAGTCCCACAGAGCAGCACACGGTTACAGATTGGTGGCTGTGTCCTGGAGAGCAGGAATTAAAGGATTTATTGGTTGCATTAGATGACCAATAGAATATGAGTTCTCAGTTTGATGAAATAGACCAAAAGATCTTTTGAAGTGTGTATTAAAAGGACAATA